TTTATGTTATATGTATTTTACCACAATTAGAAAAAGAAGCAAGAAATCGGTAGTATTTATAAATATTACTGATTACTATTAGTGAGCAAAGAATTTTCAAAGTAACTGGTAGAATTTATATTGCCCTTTTGGATGTAATAAGAAATAGGAATTGTCTAATTTGACTATGATTTGAGAACATTAAGAAGGGCATCCTATTAAATTCATGGTCAGCACTCTGGGACTTTTTCACAGGCATATACATTGTCTAGTAGGCATAAGGGAAGCAAAAGCATGTTTAAAACACATACAATTAAGAAAAATGAATGTAAAGGGATCTGAGTAGCCTGCCTTGGCCAGTGGGAGGTGATTCCCAGAAAAATGGGAGCATCGCCCCTCTGTTCAGGATGGCTGTCTTGGCCGTGACTTACCGAAGTGCAAGGAAAATGAACACAAAGAACATCACAGAAAGTAAAACAGGAAAAAGAAGTGAAAATTAAAATAAAAAGAGGGCTGTATATTTGTAAAAATAACATTTTTAATGGGTGCTGCTATAAGGCTATTTGGAAGGTTAATGCTGTGGGAGGGCTTCCCTTGTGGCTCAGCTAGTAAAGAATCCACCTACAATGCAGGAGACCTGGGTTCGAACCCTGGGTAGCGAAGAGCCCCTGGAAAAGGGAAAGGCTACCCACTCCAGTATTCTGGTCCGGAGAAATGCATGGACTATATAGTCCATGGGTTCGCAAAGAGTCGGACAGGACTGAGTGACTTTTACTTCCACTTCCAATGCTATGGAAAGGTTTATAATCTTGTACTTTTGTTACTTTACAAATGGGATGATTCTGAATGGTCCAAGGTAATCCTTTCTTTTTTATATTACATAGACAAAAGGTTTTTGTGATTACTGAGATTTTGAATTACTGAGATTTCAGAAATCTAAGTATGTAAAAACTATACTCATATAGGCAAAAATGGCATTTTGTTTCACAATGAGACTTACCCTGGAGAATATTCAGAGTTCAGAGTACCATGACCTGCTTTGTTATAGAGGTGGTTATCTTTGTAATCATAGTCTTTTGTATCAAACATAAACAAGCAAAGAAATATCTTAAGTAACTTAGTATGATGATGCATTCTTTTTCTGCCGAACTACTCATGTCAAATAATATTTGGAGTTCTTGAATGGCTATTCAGGCTGTCTCTGCACAACTTTCAAATACATCTGTGTTGCAATTATATTTCATCCATTTTTATTTTAATGTGGACCATTTTAAAAGTCTTTATTGAATTTGTTACAACATTACTTCTGTTTTACATTTTGATTTTTTTGGGGGGTCCTTGAGGCATGTGGGATCTTAGTTCCCCCACCAGGAATTGAACCTGCACCCAACGCATTGGAAAGTGAAGTTTTAACCATTGAACCACCAGGGAAGTCCCCTGTTTTAATAGACATAATAGTCAGATATATAGTTAGTCATTTATGCAGGTGTGTTTTCCGAATGAAATAATACACTATTGTACTTGAAACAGGCTTTAGGTTGTACAATCAATTAGGATGCACTTGCTCAAGTAAAATGAAGACATTTAAAAGAATTCTGCAAATCTGATTTTAAACATTTATCTCAGGTATTTTATACCATCTCCCTCAAACTTTAAAAAAAAATTTACTTATCAATATTTATTTGGCCATGGTGGGTATCTAGTTGTGGTACAGGTGCTCTAGAGTGGGTGGGTGGTCTTAGTTGCCCTGTGGGCATGTGGTGGGATCTAGTTCCCCAACCAGGGATGGAACCCACATCCCCTGCACTGGAAGGCCGATTCTTAGCTACAGGACTACCAGGGAAGTCCCCCTCAAATATGTTTTAAGCAGATTTAATTGCGCTGGCTGTGTGCTGTGCCATGTCCGACTCTTGGCGACCCCATGGACTGTAGCCCACCAGGCTCCTCTGTCCATGGGATTCTCCAGGCAAGAATACTGGAGTGGGTAGCCACTCCCTTCTCCAGGGGATCTTTCTGACCCAGGGATCGAACCTGGGTCTCCTGCACTGCAGGAGAACAACAAGTACAGTGATACTTAAAAAAAAAAAAGAAAAAAATTACAGGGGTAAAGTGAATCTTCTAAGACAGCCCCTAGGGGGAAAGGCATTCAGGCAAGCCTGCAGAATTAGGGCATAGGAATTGCGAGTCGAAGAGGAAAGGATCAAAGGTGGAGAGGAGGGCCAGTTTGCATGCCAGGTGTACTCAGAGGAGCACAGTCACAAAGGTTCTGTGTCTTCAAAAGGTAGACAAAAAGCCCACAAGCTGTATTCTGATCAGCCTGGGAAGCCTCCAGCTGATTTGACAGTGGGGGCAGGTAACAATTAGAAGTTAATGGCCAGGAGAACCAGCAGACTGCCCCAGGAACCAGGGGGGCTCAGGCAGAAGAAAGGGTGGACGCTTTGGAATCTTAAATCTGGGTTAGAATTTTCACTCCAGCACTTAATTTGCTGGATGTGCCTTGGCATGTTTGTCGACCTGAGTCTATTTCTTTATCCTAAAGATGGGGATAATGATAACTATTTTATTGAGTTGACTTGAGTCATAAATAAGATAAGGAGGGGACTTCCCTGATGGTCCAATGGTTAAGAATCTGCCTTACAATAAAGGGGACTCCAGTTTGATCTCTGGTCAGGGAACTAATATCCCACATGCTATGGAGCTACTGAGCCCACGCACTACAACTAGAGAGAGTCCATGCACCACAATCAAAGATCTGTATGATGCAATGAAGATCCCGTGTGCTGTAACTAAGACCCGGGGCAGACAAATTAAAAAAAAAAAAAAGGATAAGGAATGGAAGTGCTCTCCGCACTGCAGGTTCTCATTAGACATTAGTCCGCTCTCCATGATATCCCTTTCTCCACCACCCAGATGCCAACTGCAGGTGCCCCCCACTTTTCCTAAAGGTTGTGGAACAGTTTTAGTGATAGGGTTGGAGCAATCACTGAAGAGAAGTGCAAGTGCTGGACATTAGCACTGATGAGCTTAGGCTTAGCTTTGGCCGGAAGTGAAGCAACGTGGCAATTACATATAACACAAACAAATACACTCTGTCCCACACTGGAGCCCCCAGTCTGCCCCAGACAGACTCTGGGTGGGAGGCAGGGGTGGAAGGCTGCCCTCAGGTATTTACAGTTTAGCCACTGTGCCAACACAAACCACATGTCTGGGTTATGTCTAAACCCCATGTGAAGCATCCAATAGGTTCTTAATAGAAACATATTCTGGATTAAGACGGATAAGGGCTCAGAGATTGAGATCAGGGCAGAGGGAAGAATGGTCAGCAGAGCGAGTATTGGTGCTAAGAAGCTGGGCCAGTGGCTGGGGGCAAGGGAGACATGGAGGGGAGGGCAGTCGAGGTGTGCTTCTAAGGCAGAAAGCTCTCTCATCTACCCTGCTTAATGGGAACAGTTAGTGCCAGTGAAAGTTCCATTGCCTCTTCCCTTAACCCAGCCTCAGAGGAATCTCAGTTACTAGCCCAAGAGGGAGAGAATTTACTTAGTCTGGCTTTTGGAGAAACATAGATGACACAGTTTCATAATTAGCTAACAAGTCATTTCTTTAATGGGGTGAGACACAAAGAGAAATAAAATACGATTCCTGCCTTCCAGGATGCCCATCACATAGCAAGGCAGTGACAGGCATATGTGGGAAGTGCCATGCAGGCAGAGAGATGGGGGAAGCTTTGCTGAGGATGAGCAAGAGGGCCATTCTCAGAAAAAGAGAGAAGGCATTCAAGCAAGGTGACCGTGGCCCCATTAGAAATTTTGTAGAAATGGAGGGTGAAGTGGATGGGAAAGTTCAGATAGGCATAAAAAGGAACAGAGGGAGCCCACCTTGGAGCAAAGATCTATAAGAGTTTCTGAAGCCCTTTCCTATATGTCATACTATGAACTTTTTCCTGCAGAAAAATAATTCAGGACCCTCAATACACCCATGCAAATTTTATGCTAATTTTAAAAGGTTATTAATCAGCAAATGTTAAAAACAAAATGTTTGAATAATAATTACTTTCTGAACAAAGGATCTTTAAGTTTTAAGATTAACTCTGGGATTTCCCTAATGGTCTAGTGGCTAAGACTCTGTGCTCCGATGCAGAAGGCCTAGATCCCATGTGCTGCAACTAACATTTCAAATGCAGCAACTAAGGATCTCATGTGCTGCAATGAAGATCAAAGATTCTGCGTGCTGCAACTAAGACCTGGTGCAGCCAAATAACTAATTAAATGTTAAAAAAATTAAATCCGGTGAGTGGGTTAGATTTTTCACTTAGAATAGTATAGACCAAAAGACTGAAGATACAGCAGTCTTATATTTAATAAACTAGCAACTACAGGAGGATTCAAAGGATTAGATACTTAGATAAAAAACAAAAATGCATGAAAAATGTATTGACACATATGCTACTGAAAACACCAGTTAATCTATACTATGAAAGTGAAAGTGTTAGTTGCTCAGCTATGTCTGCCTCTTTGCAACCCCATGGACTGTAACCCACCAGGCTCCTCTGTCCTTGGGATTCTCCAGGCAAGAATACTGGAGTGGGTTGCCATACTCTTCTCCAGGGTATCTTCCCAACCCAAGGATTGAACCTGGGTCTCCTTCATTGCAGGTGAGTTCTCTATTGTCTGAGCCATGAATGAAGCCAATCTGTGCTAAAGGAGGATTCAAAGGATTTAGGTACTTAGAAAAAAAACAACAAATGCATCAAAAAGGTATTGACACATATGCTATTGACAACACCAGTTAATCTATTTACAATTGATTAAAAATGCTGACCATGAACTTGAAATACAGCTGTAATAAGAGTTGTTGGCTGCTATACCTTCCCAATATGTATTAGGTTGGTATGAAAGTAATGGCAGTTTTGGATCGTGAATTTTAAATCATTATAACTAGGCTTGAACACATCTTTGCTATTCAAAATAGGAATCATTACAATCAACACATTTTTGCCAATAAGAAATAAGTTTGTTTATTTCTATAGCATAAAAAGTGCATACTTTGGGATTTGATGAACTCTTAGAAAAAGCATTTTCTGCCTCCTGCTTGTTGTGGGAGCATTTTCTCTGCAAAAAGCTGTCGAGATCCTTGAAGAAGTGATAGTAAGTTGGCAAGAGGTCAGGTGAATATGGCAGACGAACAAGGTAAAACTCCGTAGCACAGTTCATTCAATTTTTGAAGCACTGGTTGTGCAACTTGCAATTGAAGTTGTCATGGAGAACTGGGCCCATTCTGTTGACCAACGCCAGCTGCAGGCATTTCAGTTTTTGATACATCTCATGGATTTGCCGAGCATACTTCAGATGAAATGGTTTCACTGGGATTGAGAAAGCTGTAGTGGATAAGACTGGTGGTAGACCACTAAATGGTGACCATGACCACCTTTTGGTGCAAGTTTGGCTCTGGAGCTTTTTCTCAGTCCAACCACTGAGCTGGTTGTTGCCAGCTGTTGTATAAAATCCGCTTTTGTCGCATGTCACAATTGGAAGGAGAAATGGTTTGCTGTTGTTGTGTAGAAAAAGAGAAGATGACACTTCAAAATGACGATTTTCCTGATTTTTGGTCAGCTCATGAGGCACCCACTTAATGAGCTTTCTTACCTTTCCAATTTACTTCAAATGCCAAATGACTGTAGAATGGTCAAGGTTAAGTTCCTTGGCGACTTCTTGTGTAGTTGTAAGAGGATCAGCTTCAATGATCCTCTCATTTGGTCACTGTCAACTTCCAATGGCCGGCCACTGAGCTGCTCATCTTTAAGACTCTCATTTCCTTTGTAAAATTTCTTGAACCACCACTGCGCTGTACGTTTGTTAGCAGTTCCTGGGCCAAATGTGTTGCTGATGCTGAGAGATTTCTCTGCTGCTTTACAGCCCATTTTGAACTCAAATAAGAAAATCGCTTGAGTTTGGTTTTTGTCTAATATCATTTCCCTCGTCTAAAATAAATATAAATAAATAGCAAGTAATGTCATTAGCAAAGAAGCATAAAGCAAGAATTGTGCATTAAAATGATGTATAACATAACCACATTTAAGAATAGATTCCAATATCAAACAGCAAAGTTCAACAACGCAAAACCACAATTACTTTTGCACCACCCTAATATAACTGCATTTAATCCTCACAATCACCTTGTAGAACAGGTACACTTATTATCCCCACTTTACAGATGAGGAAATCAAGGCTTTGAGAAGAGGCTGGGAGAGGACTGAAAGTGAGTGTTAGAACTGAAATTCACACTGACTCACAGGGCCACGTGGTGTTCCTGGCCCAGTGATGTCTTGAGGGTCAAGTGAAATAAATAAATGAAGATACAAAAAGTCCTTAGAGCAGCAGAAGGCAGAGGACAGAACTTAATAAATAAAACTATGATTATTACACCAACTCCTGCCTCTTCTTTTCTTTCTCTCTCACTAGCCTTACCTCTTTTAAATTCTTCCACTGAAGCTGAGGCTAGCAGTATACTTAGGTCCATGTACTGAAAGTCTCTCCTTCTGTCCTCTGATAGATAAATATTTAAAAAAAAGGAGGGGGATAAGAGTTGTAAATATACATAAATGTAAGTTCTTCAAATAAAAATGAAAGAAAAAATTGTCTCAAGACCAACCTAATTATTTCATCATGCTAATCACAAACTCCATAGCTATGTGAATACAAGCCAATCAGATCAAACAACATTGGTAAAAATGTGTTTTTATAAGACAGCTCTTGGGATTCTTTTACTTTATGAAAGAAGGCTTTCTGCAGCTCACAGTGCATAAAAGTTTGTTATGAACAGTACCAGATGAGTCTAGCTGTACTTCTTCATGCCATGGGAAATTATATCTAGACCTATATCCTGAAAGACATGTGTCAGACCTGATAGCCCAGATCCTCTGGGAAGTGGAGCCAAATAATGGGCACATTAGAAGACATCGTATTTCTTGTAGTTCATATCTAAGCCTTCCTGGCCCCACGTATGTCTTTTGGCTGCTTTAGTGGCAGTGTTTATTGGCTTTGCTTCTCCATTACTCATTTTCCTCATCAGTGGGAACAGGGACTGTGCCACTCATAGCCACTGGTTATGCTTTAATCTTTTTTTTTTTTGGTTGAGCCATTCATTTGGGATGTTAGTTCCTGGATCAGGGATCGCATCCATGCCCCCTGCACAGGGAGCTTGGAGTCTACCACTAAACTGCCAGGGAAATACCAGTGCTAAGACACAGCTCTCCAAGTGACTTTATATATTCTGAAAATCCGCAACTGGCCAACTGTGGATGACAAATGTCTCTCTGAGAACTAAACCGGGAAATTCACCACTCATTCATACCCTGGATGTGAAAGACAGAGAAAGCTCAATGTGTTATTTGTTTTTTACTTCTTTTTGTAATAGCAAACCTGGGTGGTTTGTAGTTGTAACTGAGAAAAGGAGCACTCTTGCACCAGAAGCTGGGTTATAAATTGTAAAGCCCACTTATTATAATTTAATGGATAGTGCTTCCAAAATAGAAATTCACTTAAATTTATATAGTAAGTTAGATTAACCTAGTAGTTGGGTTAAAAAATACTTTGATTAAAACCACACTGCAAAATGGGGAACCTCAGTGGACTGCTTTAAACTCTTGACCTCAAAGGAAGGAAACCAACTAACCAATAATGATAACTTGGAGAGAAAAAAAAAAGGTTTAGGATCCAAAGCAGATTCGTCGTCAACAGTGTAATGATTCAGCATTCTGGAGGCCAAGTAAAACTAGACTTGCGAGTGTGTACGTCAAATGGTATCTCAGTGTACATGGACAGAATTTTCTGTTCGACGCCGCACGTTGGTGAATATTTTCTACTATATCCGCGTAATGTTGAACCCCCTCCTTACAGCAGCCGTCATAAAAACGATGTGAGTTGTAGGGAACCCCTGGACATTCTTTACCAACCCCCACATCCACCCACTAGCCCCACTGCCCCCAAGCTACCGTCCAGGTCAGTTTCTACCGAGATGCAGCCATCGCCAAGACAAAGGAGCCCCAGATTGCCTTCGGAGCCACAGTTTGTCCGGAAGGTTTCCAGAGGTGTTTTTGTGTGTGTTGTGTGTGTGTGTGTTTTAAACATAGTAAGGAGAGCACTAATAGTGTTTCAGCAAGAAGTACTTTCGGCCTCGAAAAGTTGATCTTTAGTGATCGTTATGCAAATTTACTTCCTTTAAAGCTTTTTACGATCTCTTTCGCCAAACTACTTCACACACCAATTTCCCTGCTGTGCATCGCCAGGCAACTGTACAGGCGCGAGTACCGGGAGGGAAAGGGCGGAGAGAGCGCGCGGTCCGTGGGTCTGGAGGGTGAGATAAGGCCGGGGGAAACACATCCTTCTTGGGCCGAGTCAGGCGCCGATGCTCCCAGATCTGCCACCCGCAGAACTGGTCCGGCAGCTGGGTGGGGCGGGGCGGGGCGGACGCGCCACGTCTCGTGACGAATCAACAGCGCTGGGCATGATTCAAAAGACCGAGGAGCCAATAGGAACCCTGGGAAGGGCGGGGCGAGGAGAGGGCAGGGTCGGGGATGCGCGCGCCCGGGCCGCGGGACCGCGGAGCGCGAGAGCACGAGAGGGGGCAGTGTCGCGCGCGCGGAACCGCCGCCGGGTTGCTGCTCCGCGCCTCTCCCCTAGTCGTTCGCGTTCCCGCAGGATCACCGAGCAGGTGAGCTCCCGAAACCCCGCCCCGCTCCCCGCAGCGCGGTCTCCAAGGGATCTGGGGGAGGCCAGCGGGGAGGGTGCGGCGGATGGGCAGGGGTCCCGGGGCGCCTGGCGTGGAGCGGCGGCTTCGCCCTCCCCTCCTCCGGGTCGGTCGGGGCGGCTGCTGGCGAGGCTCGAAGTGCGCCCGGCCCGGCCAGCTGCGGAAATGAAGCTGTGGTTTTAAATTGCCGACGTTTCCCTCCATTTTGGACGCGCCGCGTCGGAGTAAAATGATGTTGGCTGGGGAGGATGTGTGGGTGGGTGATCCACCCCGGTGCCTTTGTCCCCGCCCTGCAGCATCGGCCCTCCCAAGACTGCTCCGAGCGCCTTTTTGACAGATTAGCGGGGTGGCTTGGCGGGCCCAGCTCTTGTGTAGGCAGAACAGGCGCGGCAGCCTGGCGGGCGGGGAAGTGGGGTTGCCAAGTTGACTTTAATTGTCGGTGGTTGTCACTGGCCTGGAGGGTCGTGGCCGTCTCTGGAGACTTCCACGGCTGGCTGCATGCATTGCATTCCCCCGCCCGGTGTTTCTGTGCACTCAAAAAACGGGTAGTTAGGCAGGTTTGCGTGCTCATGCTAAAGCTCGATCCTCCCCCCCCCACCCTTCTTTTTAATGTATCTTTTTAAGGCTTAAAAAAAATAGCGTCAGATTGCAAAGGGCTTGGTTCCAGGCGGTTTACCAAAATAATTACGCGGTCTGATCGGGAATCAGGCTGTTGATACTCAGAATGACCCAGTAGATACGTTGGACAGCGGGTGGACGATTCAAGGGTTCAGCCCGGAGCAAGTGCATTTGCTCACCTGATGTGTGGAAGAGCCTGCACCTGGCCGGACCCCAGCTGGACCCATGCTTGTGGTCCCAGCCCTCGGGGACCTTGCAAATAAACACGTGCACATCTGTAAAGACACCGTTGTAACTGCTGTGGAGGAAAGGATGGGTGTGTGTGCGCTAATTTAGTTCGAGCACCAAGTTCAGTTTAAGTTTGGTTTCTGAGAGCTGTCTGGGGAGGAGGGAAATTATTGCCCCTTCAGTTCTTTATTTTGCTTAGGACGACAGTGGGGCCATTCTGCCTGTGCAACCAGGAAGATGGCAGTTTCTTTCGTACCCTGCGGCCGGGGCAGGAGCTAGGCCAGGGGTTCCTGTTTGGGTTTTGCCCGGTAGGCCAGCCTTGGGTGCAGGTGTTGAAGAGGGAAACCATGAGACTTCATTTGCGCTTCCCTTTCTTTGCCATGTTTAGACTGATTTGGGAAAGTGAAGAAAGACCGAAGATGTGATCAGCAGGGAATAGCACATTCTGTTGTGCTGATAAACAGTAACATATTGGAGCCAAAATGTGTAAGGATTCCAGTGCCAACCGACACTGAAGTTAGCAAGCATGTGGCTTAATAGAGAAAAGCCTGAGGGTCCCCATGTTTCCACTGCTAATGGGGGGATGAAGTCATTGTGTTCAGTAAACAGAATCTTTCTTTGCAGACATACTTGGCTAAAACCTCCCTTTTGAGGGAGGCCTATCTTTTGAGTGATGGTACGGTGACATGCATGAATGTCCTGGGGCTTTTCTGTCCTACCTGCCTAGTTACTCCTGCAGGGTTAGGATGTGATGCACTGTGCGATACTCCTGCAAAGTGGAGGTGTTCCATCATAATGGTGGTGGTTTCATCTTTTGGAACATTTGTGTTTGAGATAGCGGTCTCCTGAGAAGAATGCTGGTTTGTCCCCCCTTTGTTTTCGTTTTTCAACCACCATATGAAAGATTGCTATTCCTAATTCTTTTTTTAAAGTTAATTTTAGAGACCTAACAGATATCCAGGAGATATCTTAGTTTGTTTAACCCCAAATAGTTGATTGATAACAGAAAAACCTCTTTGGAATTGACCTATGACCAGTATTGGATGGATACTGTGTATGTGGTATCTGTGCAATAAAATTTCCAAAAAGGGACAGAATCTGCTCAAGGGATTTTCGCTAGTGGTGGAGAACGTGTCTGTCAATGCAGGAGACATAAGAGACCTGGGTTCGAGCCCTGGGTCGGGAAGATCCCCTGGAGAAGGGCATAGCAACCCACTACAGTCTTCTTGCCTGGAGAATCCCATGGATAGAGGCAGGCTACAGTCCATGGGTCACACAGAATCGTACATTACTGAAGTGACTTAGCACACACATATGCAGCTCTTAATTCCCGAGGGACTGTTTCAAAAGTTAATAAAGAGTTATTTGAAACTTGAATGACATCTTCATGTAGAAAGATGTGATTGCCTTCTGCCAACCCTGGTCAGTTGACATCAGAGAACTAGTACTGATAACAGAGGTTTGATTTTAAGGGGTCTGAGAAGAAGGAAGGGGCATAAGAGAAGAGAGAAGAGGGCACATTTCCTTCCTCTTTCTTAGTGTTTGGAGGCTTGGAGCTCAATGTTGAAATAGGCAAAACTTGCTGGTGTCACCTTCCTTTTTTGTGCCCCTCCTCCGGGTCCCAAGGTGTCCACCACCTTCTTTTTTTCAAGTTCCCCTCACGTGACTTCTCAGCCAGGTGGGACTTCATCCTCAGAGCATTTGGGCTCCTTGTCCTTGCTTCCCCCGCCCCGCCCCCAGCCCAAACCCCTTCATTACCCCGTAATGCTATCTCAGGTAGGTGTCTTGTACCTGACATGCAAATGGACTGACATCCTCTAATCACCACCTAAGTCTTTGTGTCTTCTTTCATCTACCCACCTAGCTCCTATCTATCTAAACAAGTGAAGCTTGTGAAGTTTGCCTCTCAGATGATTAACAGGGAAGAAATGTGATGCTTGGGAAAGACTTTTTCTCAGGAGGGGTGTGATAATGTGACTTTCTCCTTTCTTAATTCTGGAGAGTCTTCAGAAGTTCTGAGATGTTGGTATTGTTGTGTAATCAGCTCTTGACTGGAGCCGAGTAAGGAATGTATATTTGTATGCTCAGAGGCTATTTCGGGGATGAAGGAGATGCAAGGAGAGATTTTTCGTACTGCCTTCTTCAGAGGGCCTAGCTCGTTCAGTTGGTGTTGGAGATGTCAGGAGAAGCTGGTTTTGTTCTGTGGAAATGTGAATCTGCTGGTCCATCGAGGGAGAAGCTCTTACTACCTAAGAGCTAGAGGCACCCAGCAATCAGTTGATGTTTGAAAAAAAGTAGCAAACAGGTCTCATGTAAGTGGCAATTCCTGCAGATTGCTTGTGGTTTCTTAGGGTGTTGTTCTTATACCAGGCTTCATGGGCTGTGCTTTGGTTCACTGGAAAAGAAGGCTATAACTGGAGGTTGATGTTTGCTGTAGGCATTTGAAAAAAGAGCTAGGATACTGGCCTAGTTATATGGTTGGCAGAATTACTTGGTATACATTTGAGACTTCAGCTGTAAGACTTGAAAGATTTGTGAAAACCTCAAATTTGCTCTTCATTTTCGACTTGAAGTTATTTTTCTCACTCTTGGTAGGTTATATAATGTTAATTATACAACCTTGATTTTCCTAGTCTGTCTCATAGTTTACTGTTAGTAATAAAGGTAATTTGTTAAAATTAGATGATACATCCTTAAAGCCTACATCCTTAAAGACTACAGTCATCCCTCTTTATCCATAGTTTCACTTTCTGAGGTTTCAGTTACCTGTGGTCACCTGTGGTTCAATAATATTAAATGGGAAATTCCAGAAATAAACAGTTCATAACTTTTAAATTGTGCGCTATTCTGAGTAGCGTGATGAAATCTCTTGCCGTCCCTCATCATCCAACCTGGGATGTGAATCATCCTTTGTCCAGTGCATCCACCCCGTTAGTCACTTAGTAGCCGTCTTAGTTACCAGGTCAGCTGTTGAGGTATCACAGTGCTTGCATTCAAGTGACCTCAATTTTACTTAAAAATAGCCCCAAAGCACAAGGTTAGTGATGCTGGCAATTAAGATTATGCCAAAGAGAAGCCATACGGTGTTTCTTTTAAGTGAAGGGGTTAAAATTCTTGGCTTAATAGGGAAAGGAAAAAGAATCATATGCTGAGGTTCCTAAGACCTACGATAAGAACAAATCTATTGTGAAATTGTTAAGAAGGAAAAAGAAATTCATCCATTTTGCTCTTGTACCTCAAACTACAAAAGCTATCAGCCACAGTGCATGATTAAGTGCTTAGTTAAGATGGAAAGGCATTAAGTTTGTGCAATAAGACATTTTGAGAGACCGTCCACTTTCATATAACTTCTATTAAAGTTGTTGCTGTTCAGTTGCTCAGTCGTGTCTGACTCTTTGCAACCCCGTGGACTGCAGCATGCCAGACATCCCTGTCCTTCACCATCTCCTGGAATTTGCTCAAACTCACATCCATTGAGCTGGTGATGCCATCCGACCATCTCGTCTCTGTCATCCTCTTCTCCCACCTTCAATCTTTCCCAGCATCAGGGTCTTTTCAAATGAGTGAGTTCTTCTCATCAGGTAGCCGAAGTCTTGAACTTCAGCTCCAGCATCAGTCCTTCCAGTGAATATTCAGGTTGATTTCCTTTAGGATTGACTGGTTTGATCTCCTTGCAGTCCAAGGGACTCTCAAGGATCAATTTTTCTATATTTGTCCTTTTGATAGTTATTGTTGTTAACCTCTTGTGGTGCCTAATTTATAAATTAAACTTTATCATAGGTATGTATGTGTAGTATATATGGGACTATAGTATATATCCCCATAGTATATATGGGGCTCTG